CCATATTATGTAGCGACCCTTACAGCTTCGAGCCTTCGTTCGAGATGCATACGACACGATGTCAGGCTATAATAATGCATACCAAATGTATTATTATAACTAAATATCAGGAAAGCAATAAACTCTGTTTTGAGTTAGTTGATTTTATCTGTTACCGCACGAGCGACTGCGCTCTAGTGTTCTACGTTTTTTATTTTCTTCATTAACTCCCACACTTGAATTTTTATTTTACCCATCTTCTATCGATGATTGCATTTATAATTATTAGTTTTAGACATAAATGGAAACTTAGAAGGGGAAATGCCACCGACAACTTATATAACATTATTATTCCCTTTAATCTTTACAACGGACTTCGATCTACGCAATTCCATTATAGATTCAATAATACTTTCAAATGCCGAAATCAACGGTTTGATGTAGGCAAATTATATTATACCTACTTTGTATACAAAATAACAAACTTACCTATAGCCATCAAGCAATCATGATACAAAATGCTGAGAAAACATAAAGTAAGTCATAATATAAACAGCATTCGCATATAGGTGGAAGCCGGAAAGTCCACCTTCATGCCAAATTTATGGGATATATCGAATAGGTATTTTACTGTCAAACATGTTACTTACACATTATACTCCTCAAATGCCGACAATATCACACATAATCACATACAGGTGGAATGCGAAAACAATACCTATGTATACAAGGAATCATCTGGCTAAGACAAACAAACATTCAATTTACTGTCAATAGTTAAACAGCCAAATACATTTATAGAGGAAATAGGACACCGTCCACTTATGTTTAGATGTGATCTACATAAATATTATAAATTTACATATTGTGTACAATTTGTATCGGCTAATAACCAGACTAGTTTCAGGTATTTCTCCCCTGGCATATCGTATTTTAAATTATTAAGAGGACGTTACACCGAAAGTGAAACGTATACAACGACCGAGAGAACGCGCTGTTAGGTGTTTTGGCGATGCGCAGGCAAGCGACGTTTATGGACACGCCCACTACTCGTGGTCGGCGGCCGGCCGACAATTGTGCTCATTCGGGAGCGACGTTTATTATTTTCTCAACCATCGTCTGTAGCGGATTGCGTAAAATGCATACACGTAATATTATATTATACCGCACTGCCGCCGTAATATTTTTAATATTCGAGCGTACTTACGCGGCCTGTATTTATTGCATTTTTATATACTTACCTACTAAATAAAAAATATATAAAATACTGATTACAGTAAATTATATCTAATTTATGACAGTAACCTAAACTAAATACATTATAAAACATTCTTACTGCTCCTGAAAATGCGTCGTATTTTGTCTTGTAACTCCTTTTACTCCATTGTCCATCCGCGATTACTGGACACATAGGTATGCCATCAATATCCACATCATTTGCTTCAAGTGCCAATTTCTTTTCTTCAATCCCAGCCTGCTTCATAACATTCCAAGCAGAAGCTTCTATATCTTCACTTAACACATCACTATATTTAATATAAGTAGTAGGAGCCATGCATGGTATATCTAAGCACGCACTAAACTCTGCCAGTTGAGTAAATCCTATACCGATTGCATATGTACCATTTATAACGGCTTTATTAATCGGTACGTAATCCAAGTCCTTTTTTTCCGATTCAATCGTTGTTAATAAGTTACACATTTTACATTTAAAAATCCAAGTCGTCTCAAAACCTTTTTTTATTTCATTTACGAGTTCTACATTTATGAATGAACATCCTAAACCAGGAGTATGTGTTTTAGAATTTAGAATTTGCACTTGAGAAAATATATAATTTATATCCACGATTCTCCTTCCTTCAAATGAATTATTAGACACGCTATAATAAAGCAAATTAGATATTTAAAAACTACAATACTTTATTATATTTTCACTCAGTTACAGTTATTTTAAAACAATTATAATTATGAACTTACGAGATTTCACTTTCCATCGATATTTCAAGATTATGGTTTTGTGTGTCTAAAATATTTATTTCACTAAGCTCGGTAAAACTAGAAATAGTTGTATTAGTTGATGTTTCATATGAAATATTTTTGCTCATATTTTCATTAGATGATAAAATATTTTCACTATAAGAATATTTGTTTATTAGTATTTATTTTTTTGTTCTTATATAGTTAAATATATATATTATACAAATATATCAATAATTAAAATGATAACATATCACATATATATACATATTTTTAGAAAACCACGATTAAAGATATATCTTTAATCGTGTAGAAAACTTACAGAGTTGACGTATTCATGTTGGATTTTTGAGTCTGAGAATAATTACTTTCAACAAACGTCATACCCGATTGAATATTTTCACTAATATTTAAATTGGATATTGACGTATTATTTTCCAGCTCTCTAGTTTCATCAGCGATTAAACTGAAATTAATTAGGTAGTCAAATAAAATAAAATAATTATAGTTTCGTACCTACTTTAAAGCAATTTTTTTTTTATTATTAGAACAAACAAAAATATAGGCTTGATCGAAGGGGGTCAAACGATCCTACTTCTGATGTATATCTATTATAATTTATACTAGATTTTGAGCGGAGCGATGAATCTATTGATTTTACACTGATGTGTGTTCATTTTAATTTTTTAATTTTTTAATTTTTGTGTCTGTCATCACCGTTTGGGGCAGTAGAACTGCTTGGTTTTCTTCAACAGTATCTTGTTCGATGCGAAAGTGAATCAAGTTGGTGCATTTGGGAGGTCAAAATTTAAAATTTCCAATAGTTTTCTAAACCACAGGATAAAACAAAATAAAAATTGAGGAAAAACGGAAATTTTTAAGCAAAATCAATTTTCGACAAAATGAATTAATAAGGATGGTGAATCAGAGGTTTTTTTGTAGTGTATCGAAGGAAAACTCATAGTTATCCCCGTATTAAATTTTCTAATCTTAGGTATAAGTACTAAAATGGTTATGAGGTATAAATTATAGAATAACTTGCTAATTTTCGTGATTTCGACATAATAATTATTTTGTAAAAATCTGAACTTTAAAAACTTATAAAAAAAAAAACTGTGACTAACTAATTTCGATTTTTTTTGATTTGGTACAATAAATAAATCCTTCTCAAACGATTTTAGAGTTTAGTTTTTTTTTTTTAATTCAGTCGTGGAAACTTGAAACTTTCACCAGTTATTTAAATTTGTATTTTCTTTAAAAAGTATATTTTTCAAAATATTTCACTTAATTTTATCTATAATATAATGCATTTAGATATAATATTATAAATATTAAGTATTAGATTTTTTTTTAAATGTTGATCAAAATTTTTTCCTTCAGTCAATGTACTTGAAATGTTTACTACCTACACGAATAACGATTTCACATAAGTTGTTCTTAATGTAATTAAAAAATATATACAAATATACAATAGATATTTAAAATATTTTTTTATACAATTTTTAAGTACAATTTTGAAGTAGGTACATATTATTTTAATTAAATTATTACATTTCTAATATATAATATAATTTATATTTGTATATACTTACTTAATTTTTTTGTTTCGTCGTAGTGAAAGGGAACTAGTGAATTTTTTTTTAGATGACCGTTTCCGTTTCTGCTTATTTTCTTTATTTGCCATTGTCAAAAAAAAAATGGAAAATAATAATACAAAATTCACAAAAAAAAAAATTGAACACGACGACACAGAAATCCCGAAGAAATGATGTGATCACAACGAATTACCCAGGAGGAATGGTTGTGACGGTTGTGTAATATGCATCAAAATTGAATATTTATTTTTGTACCAATTATTGAAAATACAGCTATTCATAGTCTCATATTGTGACTTCCGCTAACATAATTCGTAATGAGTATAGGATTAGGGACTTCTAGGAATTTGCATGTTTTTCAATAATCATTCAAAACATAGCTTAGTAACATAGGAATTTGTTTCATAACAATAGTACAATACGAGTTTATAATCAAAATGTATGGTTGCATATTTTACATATTTGACCATTTTTAATTTAAAAGTGCATATTTACTTTGACATTTTATTTTTTTATTTTTGTTTAATTGTCATAATAGGCATACTTGTGTAAAAATAAAATAATAAATACTAATACCAATAGTATTTTTTACCAGCAACTTACCATAATGTATAGAATGTATTCCGTATGAAAAGACGGATATTTATTAGGTGGTGTAGGTACTTGAGTTATTATAAATTATGCATAGGACTTTGAGCCCTTTGAGGTAGATACCAGGTATACCTACTATCTGAAAATATTAGTATGTCCGTAATAATAATAATTTATAATTTATATTAATTTATAATATTATAAAATAGTAAAACGAATAAGAGTTTGTAGATCGTAGGTGGAATGCTATCAATCGTCAAGACCAATTTTAATATTATAATAAAAATAAAAACAATTATTAGCTTATAAAATATTGTCATTTTATAGTATTAGATAATAATGATATTGTTTATATTAGTTCGGTCTATTCCTGGAAGCTTCCGATAACCATCGACCGACCGTCACCGCGCGATAGTCGTAGCGGATATTCAGTTTTTGGAGTAGTGGGGGGAAATCGCGACCGACCTCTCAACGGCATGCAGGTAGCAGCACATTACAGCAATGAAAATATTAAATCAATCTACGTAATCATGTTTACGGAAAACAAACAAAACAGCATTAAAAAGCGATTTTAGAGCGAAAATACCTATTATGAGATTTAGAGAAAACAATATTTCGGAGACAACCTCATCGGGGTTTTGTATTATTTTAAATATATAGCTCCTTATAATAGGAAAAAAAACCTTTTTTTTTACATTTTTTAAACAACTGTAACTTTTGTAATAATTTATATTTAAAAAAACGCCAATGAGGTTGTCTCCTAAAAATTCTTCTCTATACATTTCATAATAGGTAATTTTACTCTAAAACCATTTTTTGGCAGCGTTTTGTTTGTTTCTGGTAGACCTGTTTTTACCGCTAAATATTACGGGTGTAACGTCCTCTTAAAGCATTAAAGGTCGTACGGCCGTCGCAGTACAGCCCAGAGATTCGCGGCAACAGCCTGGCGTAAATTATTTTGCCCTCCAGGGTGTCTGCGACGACGATCATCAAGCGTCTTAAGAGGGAGGGGGCCATTTTTCGAGCTCTGACAACAATGTAGTCCACCGTCGTCCGACGCATCACGTGGAGCAGTCTGACTGATGCAGTCCACATCGTCTTCCGGGAGTTTGCGACGAACACCGGAGAGCGTTGGACGAGGGTGGAGGCCATTTTTTTGGCAAGACACAAGACATGATCATAATAATTTCGGGCCTTTCCAACAACGTCTTCGACCGTCGTCCGACAGATAACGTGAAGCCACCCGACTGATGTCCAGGTCGCCTTCGGGCCGACGACCTCCTCGAGACCCAACCTTACTGCGGTTCCGGGTGCGTCTAGACTTGTTGCTGCGTTCGTCATGTGCACCGACATTTGAACATATAATTTTTATTGTCAGTTTAAAATATTTTTATTTATGTTTTTAATAGTTAAAGGGACTCAACTGTACTAAAATTGATGCCTGATGGTGTACTTAGTATTGAATGTAATTTTGGGTTAGGGAGTATAAAAATTAAAAAATATATATTTTGTTAGGAAAAAAATACTATTAACACAATATGTTTACAATTCATTGTTTTATTAAATTTACACGATGAAGTGTAAAAAAAATTGAAGCGATGGGGGTTTCCCCCTCTCTGCACAAGGGCCTGTAATGTATCACTATTGTTTATACATATACATGAATATATCATGTTTATTTGGCCCTCTCTAAAAAATTTAGGCCTCAGCCTGGCCCACCTGGTATTAAAATTCTGTCTCCGCCACTGTTGGCAATACGTTTTGTCTACTTTTTCATCAACCTGTTTGAAAAAAAAAAATAAACAATTGTATAGTTTATCTCTTATGAATTGTTTCATAAAATTAATTTACTTCAAAAACGCTTAAATCTCCACTTTGGTAGATTTCTGTGCCCGGTGTTGTTTTCCAATTACAGTGTCGCTTATGTCTTTTTAAAATCGATTGACATTTAGTGTATTTTAAACAAAATTCACAAAATATTAATCTCTCAGCATTCTCCTCCTGCTGGAATGGACATAAATAACAAGTCTCCACTTCAAATTTTCCCAATCATACTACTGGAGTTTGAATTGTACTCTACAAATGTCAATTATAGAAATATAACAAGTATAAGACGTCATGTTATATTAAAATAAAATAAATAATTTTAATTTTACATTCTTTTCAAGTGTTCTACTCCGTTTACATATTTTTATATCTTCGTTCACTACTCCATATGGTAAGTCTGATGCCTCAGGTCGGATCATATTTTCCAGAACTGAAAATTGTATTTAATATTTTATTACTAACTACTAAGACTGGTTAGTAAACCAAAAAAGTTAAGTACAGCATAAATGGTCACTAATATAAATTGTTAAAGTAGGTAAATGGCAGAACATATATTAATACTGTTTAAAAATACAGCATGAACAAGTAATCTTACTTAATAATAATATTATATGCTTATTATCCTGTAATTTGATGAACAATATCCAGAATTATACGTTATTTCAACCAGTTCTAATGTAATATGGAGTTTGTCTTAAACCGATATTATAGTAATAAAATAGGATGAAAACATTTAAATTTTTAATATATAACCCAAATTTTCTCTGTGCGGCCCAGTTTTCATATGTATTTATGAAATTAAATGAAATAAAATAAACAAGTAATACTTAATTTAAATAATTATCAACATTGTTTTTAATGTGAAATTGAGCATATTATCATTTTGTAAATTAAAATCATAATTTAATAAATCCACATATTATTGACGAGCATTGAGTACTGCCATATAACATAATATACATTTTCTAAAGATGTGTCTAAAAGAGCAATGACGTTTTTATTTATACGTTTACTGCATATGTGTATTTTTTATTTTATATGGTTTTGCTTATAAATAATATAAACTAACCTATTTATGATATACCTACACTTTTTAAGACGTATTATTTTATATGTCATCGCTAAAAATATTGCCATTAAATTATTAAAATCATAAAAGTGTAATGTAATTATCATTCACTAGTATATATCATACGTAAATATCATTCCCTGGTATTCACTAGAAATAATTGCTTCAAAATTGGAATATATTTATTTTTAATTTTCCATTTGTAATCTGCTCTCCGATTACTTGGTATCTATACATACTATGTTTGATTAATATACCTACTCAAAAGAACGTAAATATAAATATGCAACATGCAATGGATAAAAATTAAACACACCAGATTATTTCCCGTTCACACTTAGTGCATTAAGTGCAGCACTTTGCTTAAATAATTTTGATTTCTCCTTGGAGATAGCAGTGTCCCACCGGCCCACCAAACACTACCTCTAATTGGTCGATGTGTTTGGGGGAGGGGGTGGCGAGAAGTAAGGAGAGACATTACCGTCTTCCGCGACATCACGTTGATTCGTTGAACCCACATTGGATAGTTTTTCATACTTTTACTATAAAAATTACAATATATTAATGTATACATACTGAAAAAAATAATAATTCATCTTTATTAATTTTTTAAGTTTTCTGTCGCTGGTCTCAGTCAATACTCTTTTTCTTTTTGTTCCCGCAGCTCTAGGCAGTGAAAGTGGAACATTACCGTCTCCCTTGACATCGAGTACGTACTTCGATCCAGAAATGGGTAGTTTTACATACTTTCCCTGTAAAAATTATAATATATTAATAAATCCTAAATGAAATTATAATTATCCTTTGTTACTTTTTTAATCTTTTTGTCGCTATCCTCAGGTGGTACGTGAGTAAAAGGTACGCTCAGACGATGGTGACGTATTACACTAGTTACTAAATCCGCTTTAGATTTAACAATAGTTGACTTGTCATTACTATTTGGTATATTATCGTTCGGCATGATGTCTAGATATGATATTGACAATGAAGTTATCACGGATTGAAAAAGTTTTTAGTAGAATTAACAAAATGTACGGACAATAAGAAACAGTGATCCGACCCCATCTATCGTGTATGTATATAATTATCCTCACGGAATCAGGCTTGAAACTCTGTCATTGTATAGAACTAATGGTCAATGTTTACAATGGCCATTTTTCTACTTAGCCTGTAACATATATATCTACATAACTATTTATTTCGACGATAGTAACTCCAAAAAGTGTACGTGCTAGATACGCGGTAGGCCCAACTCCTCAATCCAAAAAAATGATGTTATTAAAAAAAAAACCGAGAAACTCGCTCTGCTGTACAGGTCGCTGTAACGGATGAGTTAAATTTGAATTCAATGGGATATAAAATCAGTGTATTTATACCTACGCAAATAGAATCTGTGCAAAGACTGTCTGTCAGTAAGTCAGTCTATGTATAATTATATACCAAAAACTAAGTATATTTTATGATTTTATTGTGATTTATGTAATTTATTTAACAATTAAACAGTATATTGGAAATTACAGTAGGTAATATTAATTTTTGGTGAAAATTTGCATTTGAAAATGTTATTGTGTGTACTGTGTATACAATTTTATTATATAGGTACTTTAAAAGTTTCAAGTACTCGTGAATAATATGTTTAATAAAAACAAAATAAGTTATAACCATAAAATCGTTATGCTTTGTTTAAATATCTAATATCATTAAAATTTTAATTTAAAATGTCTATAACAAAAATACTGTGTTTATATAATATTTAGATTTGTTGGTAGTAGTCTGAACCATTTATGAGAATACTTGTTTTAAATTTTTCAATCTTTAGTAATAAAAATTGAACATTTTATACATATTTAACTACAAAATAAATTGTGAATAATAACAATAATAATATGTAAAGTGATATAATGTATTAAATTTAATGTTTATGTTATGCTCATTTTTTTAGTGTTGCATCAAAAACCAAAATCGATTTTGTATTCAAATTCTCGTTTTTCTTTAAGTTTTTTTCCAAGACGCTATAGAAAATTACTTTAAATTTTTTAATTTTGATCTCCCAAACGCACCAACAATATTCTACATTTTCACAAGAAACAAGTAGGTACCTATATGTTCTGAAGTTGAAAATCGAAACATTATTTTTGACTACCTATCGTGTATACAGACACAAATATTGAGATAAAAATTAGTTTTATCTACTGTATTACCTAGATAACTGGTAAGTATCCAGAATTCTTAATAAATAGATATATAATTATCTGTATCCTAACTAAATTAAATGTTTTTTTGTATCTATTTTCAACACTGCGTACACCATGAAAAAATCAATACAATCATCGTTCTGGTTAAGCTCTAAAATAGTGAAGCACTGATATCGACCATTCGACCGTATAGTTCAGGTATAGGTAATAGGTATAGGTATATATTTCGTTATTATGTCTTTGGGTTGTTGACGTGTATATTACTTACCAATTACATGATGGATATCGAGTGCAGATGTTGAGGTTCGAGACAATTTTCTATTATGATGGTCATCATATTCATAAGATGATCGCTTTCGCTTGTAGTCGGGTAAAGTCTTGTTGGTAGCTACAGCTACGTTCTTGCCGGTATATGCAAGGGCCTTAAATAAGTCCAGATGGATTTTATTAATATAGTGTCTTTGACTTTCAGTCATAATTTTTCTTATACTCCATGATGTATAATATATAATATTATGTGTATAAAGTGTATAGAATATCATAATTGAAAAATAAAATTTGAGTTTGCGTACACAATAAACATCTACGTATTTAGAAGAAAAATTGTATTGGAAATATTGTAAATCGTAACTACGAGAAAAATTTACCTTTTCAGTAGAAGTAGACGACCCCGCTTTCTGAAGGGTGTTCCTAATGCCATATTTGTTTTTAAGTTTTCCATATTCTACATTGTTGCTGTTTTCCGATGCGTTTGTTTTGTCCATACTCCATTGTATCAAGTCGGTTTGGTTTTTTGAGGTTCTCCATATGATTCCCACGAGTATGCATGATATAAAAGTCGCACTGTGGCAGTGCAGCGTACCGCAGTGAAGGCTGCCAAAATAGGCTACTGTGGAAGGTTGCCTGGTCCTCCACAGGGTCCTCGTAGACACGTTTCACTGACCTCCGTGCCAAGTACTCCCCCTTTACGAGTTGGGGGTTAAGGGTTCTTTTTATCATGGTTTTTCTTCCAATAGGGCTTTGCTAGCGCTAGCAGGCTGCCTCCAACCTGCCGACTCCAGCTGCTTAAGGCAAGGGCGGCTCTTGAAGCTCCGACTTTAACCGGTTAAGGTCACCGCTGCAGGGTTGGGACCGCTTGGTAAGACCTAACTAAAGGCCCGCAAGCTCCCCCACCACATCAAGGTGGGTCCCGACGGGGGAGATATAGTTATTTATTTGTAAATACGTTACACAAAAACAATTTTCTTTTGCTTCATCTGGGA